GGCTGCATTCTGTATTTTGAGGGTGTTCTGATGATAGGATCATGTTCAGTTTGAGAATCCATCCAGCAATATAGTATTGATAGATATTCAATTTGGATATATCATTTTTATATAACATAACTTATATAATATAATGCATATTTTACTATAATATGTTATTTTTAATACAATGTTTTAAAGTAATTTGTTTCAGAATTTTAAACAGATAAGCAGAGGGTGAGCAATATGGTTACAGACACCGTATATAAATGAGTGATGACATTTCAGTTCCATAAAATAACCTGTATGTTATGTTTCTGCCCAAAGACCAGTGGGTCTTCTACTTGATGACCTCTGCTTGGCCTCATTCTGAAGTCCACCTCTAATGTGACTTTCTGATACCCAGGGCTTTCATTTATGCACCCTAAATGTGTTTTAGAGTTTTCATCACAAACCGCTGTCTATCATTAATGCAGAAATCCATCAAAGTCCAATGTCAGGAATGTTCTGATGTGAAAGATGGCCTTGCTGTATTTTAGATGCCTCAACAATGATGGTGCCAAACAGCAGAGTCCTTGCATCAGAATGCAAGAGCTCGGGCTGCCAGAAAAGGCAGACACACACTTAATATATGAAAATCTTATAAAAGGTAACTTTGGGCTAATTATCCCAAAGAGAAATTGAGGAAAGAGCACATACCAGCAAGGGAGAAATGAAAAACAAAACTGGAAAGGACACATTCTCATTTGGTGAATCCCTTCAGAGCTAGGATTGCCTCAAACACTTTTAATTTGATTTCTAAAACATAAATTGTGCATAATGGTGATAATTAGACTGTATTACAGAACAAAAAGCCTCATCTCTTAGAACAATTGCCACAGACCCTTCCAGACTCAAACTCTGCATCCCGTAGGAGTGTTCTCACCACACTGGGAGGGGCCCTGTGTCCTGGGACATGGGTTCAGAAAAAGACTGAATCCCCTGAGTTCAGAATGGAGTTTTTGGATAAGAAGTAGAAATTAGATACTGTAGTTTCAGTTTCCAGAATACAAGAAATCAAATTGGCAGTTCTAGGAAAATTCTGGATCTTTTTTTTTTTTTTAAAGCACATACGATTTAAATCAAGTCTATTGAAATGAAGCCACTGCTATAGGATGCACCCAAGACTGTGCGCAAGTGTTTCTAAAATGTTCCTGTCCACTCACTGAGTCTAGAAGTGGTCCCTCACTGGTGGGCACCATGCCCACCACTGGTGATATTTGTGTCTCCTAGACCAAAGCTTCAGTTACCTACCCAAGGCTGCAGGCTGCAGTTACGTCCTGCCTTGTGACTTTCATTTCTTCTCTGTGGTTACAAAACTGTGGAATCTCCTTACCTTCAGCTCCAAGGAGAACACTCATAACTTCTTTCTCTATATTTCATGACAGGGCATTATTAATGTTGGCTCCATGGGTAGGCAAGGTCGGCTGGCCTGAGGATGCCCTGCACATTACTGCATGTAAGAAAGATCTGAGGCCCGTGGAAGGATAGGTGGTTTGACATCCTCCTCTGCCTGACACAAGTTTGAATGTCAAAGCAAAAGCCACATCTGGGCAGCAGGAGAGTGACACAGAGAGTCCATGATGGGAGGAGCTGCTGAGGCTCATGTGGGGCAGATCTGAGCCCAGGGCACATGGCCCCTGGGCATGAGTACCATGCACAGAAGCCACACACACACACGCACACGCACACGCACATGCACACGCACGCACAAAGCAGTAAGCAAGGCTCAGCCACATGCTTATTTTAACAGAAGAATGAAAGAACATTCTGCTCTTCAAAGTCCTTCTGGAATTCAGAGATCCACCAGACCCCCACCGCTGTGCTTATCTCTAGCTCCTTGTTGCCCCTGACGACTGGTGTCAACATCCAAAGAGATACCGGTTGACAGTGACTGTCAGCTCTATTTACTGCAGAGTGGACTCTGCACTAGTGGCTCCTATTGCACATACAAGGACTGAATGCAAAGTGCCTTCTGAATTAACTGCTGCCCTGGATTCCCTATGTGGTGAAATGCCAGGCACTGAGTGTCGCACATGGAGAGCTGCTTCTTAGGCAGCCTGGAGTTACCTATCTAGACATCTGCTACACTGACTATTCCTGTGCGGGCAGCTCCTGGAAGCTGTTCTGTGCCACTTTTAGCAATGCTTGTGAGAGTGCTCAGATTCTGGAACATAGATGTTTGCATGGGCTTTGGGAATGTGGGAGAAACTACAAGCTACAGAACACATCGCTGGGGTCTAAGTCCCAAGGGGAGTGAGAAAGGATCAAGGAGCCAAATAATTTGCTTACATAAAGCAGAACTTTGCTCTGAGATAAGCCAAGGCAGGAACAGGCTTCCCAGGTCCTGAAGGATACCTGATTTTCTTTATAGTAATTGTAATATGTAGTTGCTAATGTTCCCCGCTGTGTTAGATCAGCACCAGCACAGTCACCAAACAAAACAAGTATTTGTCCTTACTAATCCTTCCCGATCCCTCTCAACTCTCATGCAGTTCTCAACTGCTGCATGGGTTTTTGTCCTGCTCAAGGGATATGCTTTGTTGCATCCTGAGGCCCCACCTTCCGGCAGCTCTGGGCTACACATAGATTCCAAGAAGGACCACAGGACACCAATTTGCACAGTTTCTGCTAAAACCTCTTCAGTATTAGGTAAGTTTTATGCATTTTCATATATAAATGGCCAGCTTATTTTTTTTATAACTTTGCTATCATCTTTTAAACTAACAGCATAATTGGGGTAAAATTTATATATCATTGAGTTTATCTTTCCATTGTGTGTCACTCAGTGCTTTCTAAAAATATATTAACAAATATGCATCTATCACCACTATTAAATTCCAGAATATTATCATTACCCCCAAAGGAACTTTCATACCTATTAAAAGTCATTTCCTTTTCTCCTAATTTCTAGCTCCTGGCAAATGCTAATCTGATTTCTATCTCTATGGATTTGCCTAGCTGGGGCTCATCCAATCTGTGGCCTTTTGTGCTGGGTTTGTTTCACTTAGATAATGTTTTCAAGATATATCCATGTTGTAGCATTTGGAAGTACTTGATTTTTCTTTGTAGCTGAGGAATATACCATTATATGGATAAACTTCAATTATTTGTCTTTTTTTTTTTAGTTAATTTTCTCTTGGCTGGAACAAAATACCTCACACCCATAAGTTAAGGGAGGAAAGATTTATTTCAACTCACAGTTTATAGAGCTTTCCACCCATAGTTGGCTGGCTCCAAGGCAGGGTGGTATGGTAGAGGGGCATCTCAGAGGAGAAACTGTGGCAGACAGGAAGCAGCAAGTAGCAAACAGCAAGCCTGCCTTTCCTTTTCATTCCATCCAGGCTACACCCATGCCTTTTGGGTGGTGCCACTCACATCCAGAATGGGGCTTCTGTCTTCATTAAATCTATTCAGCCACACCCAGTATTATACTAATTCCAATCAATGGACCACACACCCTAATGTACCACACACCCTAATCCCAGTATCACACACCCTAGATGGGTGATGGCAAACCTATGCCACACATGTTATTTGTTTTTCTTTTAAAACAAAAGAGGTTAATGTATGAATTGTTTTTTGTGAACTAAAACCTCAATATTCAGGTTTAATCGCAGTGTTGGCACTTTGTGATAAATAAGTGGGTTTGGGGTTGCGGTTTGGGCATTTGGTCTCTAAAAGGTTCACCACCACTGCCCTAGATCCAGCAAGCTCAGAAAAACCCTACCTAGGAGTGAAAGAGGTTTTGAGGGGACATTGGATACAAGCCATAACATTCATTTATGGGGTGATGGATATTTAAGTGGTTTCCACTCTTAGTCTACTATACATAGTGCTATTATGAGCACCACACACAGTTTTCATATAAATATGTTTTCAGTTTTCTTGGTATATATCTAGAAATAGAATTACTAGGTAAATGGTAACTTTGTTTACCTTTTTGAGGAATTACCGTACTACTCCTTTTTCTATTTTAAAGGGCAATATCTGTGCAATCTGTTTACTGAGGACTGGAAGTTTGGGTTTTGCCCACAAGCACAGGCATCTATTATGACCGTGAAAATGGATAAAACGTTTTCCTATGGTGACTCCCACATGGTCATGTGATGGGTGAAGGCTCTCTTCTCTGCTCCACTGCTTTGAATATCATTCTTACCACTCTATGAATGGTCACATACTGCCCTCTCTGTAAGAGACTTCATAAAGGAACTCTCTGTACCCAAAGCCTCTAGAGGACTTCCCTGGGACCACTCCCAGAGACAAGAGGGGAGGCCTTTGCCGCAGCTTTCCATGTGCCTTTTCCTCTCTGAGAGACTGGGGCTCTGGTTGGTACTCCTGTTCATTAGCAGTATCCAATAAGTCTGGTACCTTCCGTTCACACTCAATATATGCTCTTTTAATAGGTTTTTTCCCCCCTTGGTTATTAACTCTCTAATCTTTGTACTGAGATGTATTCTCAGTCCTTTTATTTTTTATTTTGAGACAAGGTCTCACTTCCATCAAGTTGCCCAGGCTATGCTCAAACTGGTGATCTTCCTCCTTTGGCCTCCCAGGGTGCTGAGGTGACAGTAGTGCATCACCACATCTGGCTTTTCTTAATTCATCTTTGCTATAACCCCATAATTCTATTATATAGTTATTATGTTTATAATGTCAGTGCCTTTAAGTTCATCAAGCATGAGTAAGTTATTTTGAATTTTAATATGTGCCAAACATTCTCACCTAGTCAACAACATAAAGAAATTCAAAGCACATGAAATGGATTTTTCCCTTCATTGAAAGCATATCACATCACTTTATCATATGGCACAGAAGAAGTAGAGCAAGGGGAAGTAGAATAAAGGAAAGACAAATTATGTAACTGTAGTTGCTTAAAAAACATCACAAGGTAAAACTATGCCCTTGTTACTTAGAAAACATCTCAGGTGGAGCTCTTTCTCCCTGGAAGTGACAGGCTTTATGAGAATGAGCTCAGGTACCTGGCGTCAGCAAGATGACCGAGGTGATGATCAAGGAGCAGATGACCAGAATGACCAGCAGTGCAATCGCGATGCCCTTCCAGTTTCTCTGTGGCGGATTACTCCCCACCAGCTCCTGAGAATAACCACAGAAAGACAGAAACCCAGTGAGAAATACCAGGAAGTAAAAACCACCCCAAATAAACATCTGCAGTTTAAGCCAAGAACCAAAACTCAAGAAGGGGTATCTTCCTCCCCACAGCTTTGGGCTCTGCCAGCAACTTTGTGAATTTTTTCTGCCTGCAGGACTGCCTCTCCCCTGGGCCAGGGTGCGATGCTGGCTCCAAAGAACCCAGTGTTATGCTGTGTGGATAGCTCTGTGCCAACCCAGTGCCCTCCTCCCAGTAACAAGTAAACAATACTGGAAGCATGGACTTAGGGCGCATTCCCTCCTCACACCACCTGTTCCCCATGGAATCCAACCAGGAGCAATCAGATTTCCCATCTTCTCATCCTTCCTTTCTGTCCCATCCATGCTATAGCTTCTAATTCAGGGCACCAAGTTTAGCACACACTGAGGGTGTGTTAATGGATCTCTGCCTATGCCCTTACATCACATGAGTCTTCCTCTCATAGCTCCTTGTACAAAGTTTCTGGGTTCCCAGCTCTCTCTTCCCTGGGCAGCTCCTGTCCCTGCTCTAGACTGAGTGCTCTCCACAGAGCCAGCTCAAGATGCACTAAGGGCTGAGGGTTGGAGAGGGGTCTTCAGACACTGCCAACAGGTGTGAAAGAGTGAATAAATCTAGGAATGTAAGCCAGCAAATTGGCTGTGGAGACCAAATTCTCAGTTCCCTCCAAATTAGGATGACCATATAATTTATAGACCACCCTGGATTCTTTGAGAGGCAAAGGAGTAATATTAATAATTATAAGTAATAAGTAATAAACATGATAGTAGCATTTAGTAATGTTTATTATTAGTTATACAGAAATAAATTTTATAGAAGTGGTTACAGGCTTATGGCCACATTGCAAATGGAACTTCTGTGTAAGTAAAGATCTGAGAGTCCTTCTGCCTACTGTTCATAATTACAGCTCACATGACCCAACCCACCATCAAATAGAGCAGTGATGATCTCAGAAAGTACATAAAGTAATATATAAATACATCTTCATCCATGAGTGAAAGTTCACTAAAATTTTCCTCCCCAGCCACAGAAGGTAGAACCCGCACACCCACAGCAGGTCCCATGCATGTGCTCTCTCCACTCTGTTAGATGCTGCCCCATCTCTCCTGGCTTGAGTTTTCCTCTCTCCTGAATTCCCTTTGCTCCTCTACCATACATTGTGGCTTATGGGGAGGAGAACAGATTCAAATGCAAACTATAAGATGGAGATGATTTTAAGAATTACAGAAAGTGAAGGCTGTGAGGCAGAAGGGCTGAGAGCTTAGGTACATTGAGGATTAGGTGTAATTATATTTGAGAGCACATTAAAACTTACAATAATGTTCAGAACATCAGATGTTGCTTTATTATTTGTTGCTATCCACACTAAATAATGTTTCAGGAACATTTGACACCCCAAGTGGAAAGAGCTCAAAAGGACATTAAATTCCTTACACTTACGAAAGAAGTAAAGGTTATAGACTAATCACATTCCTCTGTTTTCCTCTCGATGCGCCCTCTGCACTAACAATCTTCACTTTTGCCAGGTCCCTGAATAAGGGTGACACAGGTAACAGCCACATGAGTCCACCATAAAGTGTAGCTGTCCCCATGCAGCAAGCTAGCCCCCTGAATGTCCTGAGTACCCATCATGTGACTTGCTGGGTTCATGGAAGGAAAGTGCAGCTGCCCAGCTAAAGGGACAGAAGGAGCCACACCCAGCAGAAATGAAGATAGATGACTTCACAGTAAAGAGGAGACCACAGTGCAGGAAGCTGGGGACGCAGGAGGTGTCACCATGGTGGAAGGTGGCAGGTGCACAGAAGAGACTGCAGTGACAGTGTAGGCCAGGCAGTGCCAGCCACCAAGGGACAGCTGGCAAGTTCACATTTTATTTCCCTTAGCTGGAGGCAGTGGGGTCAACCAGATGGCCCTCTCAGCAGGAAGGAGGAAGCCAGTTGACTCTGCTTCTCACAGTAATACATCTTCCCACCAATCCATCGCTCCTTCTATCAGGCAGCTTTCAGAAGCAGATGAGGACTAGCAACCTGTTTCTGCCTCCTGCAATGGAAAGAGGCCTTTTCTAGGATATAGCTAGAAAAAGGGATGGCTTTAAAAATTCAGAGGCTGGGCATAAATCAGCACTGGGTTGGGCTGCACATGGGCCCAGAAGATCTTATCTCACCATCCATACAGCAGGGTACTGTGCAGCAGGTGACACTTCCCATGGCTGAGATTCCCACATTACCATTGCCTTGCTTGTTGCGGGTACTTTGGCAGTGCTTCTGCTGGCTATGAGTGTGATGGATGGATGAAGGACATGACTACAAGATGCCAATTAACATTGGCTCCATAGTATGAGTCCGGGAGGTGGCAGGGAGGGTGGGCTGAGCAGCAGCTTTCCAGAGACTGAGGCATCCACACTGTGTGAGTGGGAGGGAGGTAGAGGATGCCAATAGGCTTCCCACAAGCCCTTCTGATTAATTAGAAGTTAAGTATGGCAGGCCTAACTTGGGAGGACTGGTAGTTAATGATGCATTGTCACCAATTTGGTGAAAGAGGAGTGGATGGTCATTCCCCAGAGCCATCAGGCTGGAGGACCCCGGGGGTGCCTCTTCCCCAACTCCTTCCCCCTTCCCTCCGTGTTCTATGCAATGCCCCTGTCATCTCTGCTGGGCTCTCCACTGCCATTTCTTACGGGCCCTAGGCATAAAATGAGGGTCCACTGTCCATCCTCATACAAATCTGGAAACTTCTAAAAATGACTATTTACTTAGTGTGACTTTACATTCTGCTGGAGGACTCCAAACTCCAGCATTGTATCCACCTCATTCACAAGGCAGCTGCCCACCCTCTGCCTATAGTCTACAAAACTATGTTTGGAGACTGAACGCTTGCTCTATTATTCTTAGAAAAAAATCAAAAATTAATACAAAATAAAAAAAAATCAGTTGAATTATTGACTCCAGCATCTATCTGGATCACTTTCACTTGCAAAGTAATTACCTGAAAACACGAGGGCTCAATTTATTTTAGGGTCCACAGCTTAAATGATTGTGGCTGATAGATTCTGTTATGAAATTCATGCCAAATACGCTATTCTTACTTTCAGTGCTCAACCTAACTGAGATCTGTTTTGATAGAATGTTTTAAAGGTATCAAGTGGTTCCATAAATTCCCCAAAGCAACAGTGCTGTGACCTGATCATCTCAGAAGAAATTTCACAACATACCTCGTGAAAACACCGCTACCAAAGTCAGCAGCAGAATGCAAAACTGAGCATTTGCATCTTTCCCATCTCGAGTCTGAGAACAATGTCTTAGCATCTATAAGTAATGGCTGCCTTCTGGAACACACACTGAACCCACAGGCAATTTTGAGATGAACTTTCTATACTGGGTATTTTTTTTGGCAAGTTCAACACATCATTTTGAGTGTCAAAAACTCCCATGGGCACTTAATAAATATTAAGTGACTAACAAATAAAGATAAGAACTACCAGCAAGTTAATGGTAGACACTGAAATACTTTGAGCTTATCTTTGCAAGTGGGCTTGCCACCTGACCCAGTGTTCCAGTAGGGAAGAGCTGCTTTGGAAGAATCAGGCTAGAAAATGATCCAACTCCCTCAAAGCACAGGGGTCATACTCTGCCCTGGACCCCTCTCTTCTCCTGAAGTGTGCTCCAGGGCTTCAGGTGTGGACTTAAAACTTGACTGGTGTCGTGAACCCCGAGAAGCCGAGGTGGGTAGAGGAGTTGAGGGTTGATTTCCATGTAATGAGTGGGTTCCGAAGGAGTGAGCAGGTTAGAGGATGACAGGAAAGAAGCGAGAGACTGAGATGCAAAGAGATGAGACATGAAGAAGACAGAATAAGCCCTCCTGGTTTCCAGTTTTTGACATCATTTACCTCCAGGATGTATTTCTCCCCTTGGATTTAATAATATGCACTTGTTATCTTATGAAATATTTTCTGTCCTGTTTTACTTAAACTAGTTTGAATTGATTTTGGAAACCTGAGAACAAAGCATCAAAGTTTACCGGAAGTGCCGAGGTCCTGGCTCCATGTCCCAGACAGTGTGGCGTCCAGTCACTGGCAAAGCGCCTGCTCCGTGTGTGTCAAATGGTGCAACCAAGCCCAGGTGTAAACGTCAATCACTCACTTGGTTGATTGGTCACTTTGAAACAACTAATTTGCTAGTTTTGTGTATGCTTTCTTGGGAAAGACTGCCCATTACAGCAGAACGAGTTTACCTGTCCAGGGAAGCTCTGTGGGGCACTTAGCTGCCCTCTGCTGGCTCCACAGGAGGAAGTTTGTTCCTGTAGAAGCCAAGGCTCTGCCCTGGTGGTCCCAGCCGGGGGTCCCCAGAAGGCTCAGGAGCTGGGACTATTTCAGAGGTTTTAGCTATTGTAGGTATCAAGTTACACTGAAAGAAGGAATGGGATCTATTCATGAATCCATGGTAACAGCTGCTGATATCATAGCCAGGCATGTAGATACCATCAGAGAAATCATTAGCCACAAGATGCAACTCATTAATGCTTATAATATCTTTTTATTTGGGGGGATTGAAACCGGGCCTTTGCACTGAGATATATCCCCAGACCATTTTTTTATTTTGAGACAGAATCTCACTAAGTTGACCAGGTTAGGCTCAAAATTGTGATTCTCCTGCCTCAGCCTTCCAGAATGCTGGGATTAAAGGGGTTCACTCTGCTGGTTCTTGTAGTATCTTAATTTCTTCTGTAGTATTAGTCCCCCTATGCTATACACCTCCACATTCACAAGTTTTTGGGTCAGGATGTGGACATTTTGGTGGGGCTGGTGTCATGATGTCACTGTTTGACCTGACATGGTGGTGTAGTCAATGGAAGGTGATTCTGTACAGCAACAAACATGACCTACATGTGTAGCTTGGGTGAATCTCACAGATATAACTTTAAGTGAAGTAGGTCAGACACATGGACTGCA